ATCATACCTATCTGCCTCTGGTGTCATAGCCTCCAAACATTCTGCATGATATGCATGACCACAGACCAGCACCGCAACAACCGAGAGGTCATTGCTGGCAATGAACTTCTGGTTGCTCCATGTTGATCTCTCAGTCAAAAGCTTTGAGCAAGCCCCACAAGATTGTAGTTCCATGGAGGGAGAATATGAGAACCTGCTACTGGATCCACTTATCTTGTGACGACCAGAGCCAAAACACTCACTATCAAAAGACCACCTTTCCCTTTGGGACGATGCCACCATCTCAGAGAAGGTTCGCATTGACCATCCATCAGATGATCCACAGAGGGATCCAGCAGCCATTTCGTTGCTGCAAGTAGAGAGTACAAATGATGGCCTTCCTTCAGAAATTGAGTTGTCCGGCGATTTCAGACCCATAATTCGACTGTCAGAAATCTGTCTCAACAGAGGGTGTGCTGGAGATCGATGTGCCCATCTTGTTGGGGTAGAGTTGGGAAGATGGTTATAATTGTGATTAGGCAAAGGATCTAGTGTGGGCGTTGAGAAGACTGAAGGTATTGAAAAAGAAAGATTTGGTAATGAAGACTCCACTGGATTCTTCACCTAAAGAGAAACACAGATTAAGAGTGAGCCCAGCAATACTACAGCAGAAAGCCTAAAAAATTCAGATTATGCACCACAAAGCTCATGGTTCCAATTCAGTAGCTCAAAACTAACCACTGTAGAAAAATTGCTTGACATGGACAGATCTGCAACAAGCACATGGAGGGAGAACAAAGAGAAATCAATGCCAAACAAAGAAACATCAACCCAATGAACCAAAGTGCATAAAAGAGAGCATCATAAACATAATGTCAATACCAATATCTGGGACCATTCAACACAACAAACCGAGTTTGAAAACTATACACTGGTTAGGAAAACAAAAAAAAAAAGATAAGGTGGTGAACAAGGTCATACACGACATAAAAAAGACACGTGTGAGATAAAGATCCCTTGAATATAAGAAGGCAACAGCAAGGGTTTTTCTTTTTCAAAAGTTATATATAAACCCACCCATTTTCTCAGAAACTATTGATCATGTATTTAATATTATTTGTGTTGCATCGTGAAGCCTGATTGCAATCATTCTCAAAGCCTGTGACTAAACTGTGCAGGATTTTCATTTTTGGTTAAGCATACTCAAAGAGCTTCAATGTCAAGGTTGCCTACAGGTAACAGAAACATTTCTCAAGGGATAATTGCTCCACCACCATACAAAATTTTTAAAAAGGAAATTGTATTTCAACTCTTGCATCCTATATTATGTACTAAAAGTAAGAATACCCCAAAAACATGGGGGTGGAAGAAGCCTAAATGTTATAACTAAGACCGACCCGTCGAACATTGTGGTCATGGTAAAGGACAAAAGAATAATAGAGTTCAGGGTTTCGCATTTACCAGACGAGGGCGTCATCAGATTTGCAACCAGCGCCTCATCAACAGGGGACTTCAGAGAAATAGGAGTCACAGAATTTTCCATGATGCTTCCCCCATCAGACAGATTACCTCTTTCAGAGCTTAATGAACCTTTTAACTCCATGCTGACATTTCTACTGTCTAAATGAGATGCGTGGTAAGAAGGATTCTCAATTTCACCAGTAACGCGTTCCCTACTATCCCATTGAAAACTCCACGATGGTGAATACACAACATCTCTACGTAAGCTTTCACCTCTTGTTCTGTTAGGAAGATTAGGATCCTTTGCAGCAACACAACAAGCAGATCCCATGATAACTGCAGAAAAACGTAGAAGCCAATCTAAACTATAGCCACAAACCGAAGTGTATAGACAAATTCAAGACTTGCTGATATTTTCTGAACAGAAAGAAATCCTATAGTGTACCCGAAAATCACAATTGGAACCTCAAAAGCCACCTCAATTTCCAGCAAGAAACCGTAACTCTACTTCCTCCTGAAAAATAAACAAAAAGGAATAAGATTTCAAGATAACTCAAGAACCTTCCAGCGACCAAAAAGCTCCAGACAAGGAACCGCGCTCTAAACTTTGGATTTCTGACGCTCTATCTAATCTAACGAAATCTAGTTCGGCGAAAATCCAACATAAAATTCAATTATAGAAAACTGTTTCCATTAACTGCATCCACCAATTATAAATCAAAAACTAAATACATATGTAAAAAGAAAACGACCACCAGCTCGTAAACACAAGGCTTCCAAACATAAACTTAAAAAAGAGGAAGAACAATTAAATTCATCCTATTAGTATGACAAAGCACTCAATCATCCTCTAAGTTAAATAAAACCAGTTCGAGAATACAAACAGCAGAAAGCACTAATTACAATACGCACACACAAACACCGTCATTATTCACAGTTCAAGACACAAATCCAGAGCCACCTATAAATAATAACCAAATCCGGCTCATTTTCTTCCAAAATCCATGAACTAGTCAAAACAATTAAGAGCAAAAAAAAACTCAACCGTCCCCTCGTTCATTTATTTCCTCGAACCTCAAATAATTTCTAGGGTTTCGAAACATTCTAAATACTAAATACTAGGATCTTTAATGCATACGATTAATTATTAACAAGGCTAACGATAAAGAGAAATATAAGATANCCATCCTCTAAGTTAAATAAAACCAGTTCGAGAATACAAACAGCAGAAAGCACTAATTACAATACGCACACACAAACACCGTCATTATTCACAGTTCAAGACACAAATCCAGAGCCACCTATAAATAATAACCAAATCCGGCTCATTTTCTTCCAAAATCCATGAACTCGTCAAAACAATTAAGAGCAAAAAAAAACTCAACCGTCTCCTCGTTCATTTATTTCCTCGAACCTCAAATAATTTCTAGGGTTTCGAAACATTCTAAATACTAAATACTAGGATCTTTAATGCATACGATTAATTATTAACAAGGCTAACGATAAAGAGAAATATAAGATTAAGCATGTAAATCTTACTCGCAAACTATAAACTGAGATAAAAGAGGGAAAATAATTGAGCTCGGTCATATACGGAAATGGACTCCGTCGTGTCGGTTTCTCAGTCAAAACGCGGCGCGGCGCGGCGCGGCGGAAGCAGAAGCCTGTACGACGGCGTTAGGGTAGAGGTTGTTGAAAACGGAAACGGGGGAGCCTCTGTTAATTTCTCCGTATTGTGTGACTGTGACTCACTGCATCTTCTCCTTTTATTTTCCTTCTGCAAACGTCTGTTTCTATCTTTTCCTTTTCCTCTTTCCACCTCTCTTCTCTGCGTTTCTCGCTCTTTAATAATTATTTATTCCTTATACCAAAATAAAAAAATAAAAAAATTGCGCGTTGAATATTATAATTACTTGTAATAAACCGTGGATGAGAATTGGACGCCTTAGTTTCCACCACGTGGAGCGCACTATAAGCTCACATGCACTCAATTAAGGGAATATCATACCAAGTTGCGACCGAGGAGAAACCATTGACGAAGATCTTTCCATGGTTCTAACGGTGGTCAATCTTTGCCATGCTCTGACTGAGACTACGACCGTTTGATCCTTTTAGAATCAGGTTTTCGTATTTTGCGTTTATGGCCTCACTACAACACAAACCTTTCGCTTTCATTTAATTTCCATTTTGCACTCTGAAAAGTAAAAACAAACATATGAAAAACATTTCATAGAAGTCAATGCTATTAAAACTATATCATTAATTAACTAGAAAGTCTAATTTCTAAATAATTGTATTTTTTTATTCAGCCTCTTCTAAAAAAAGTCACAATTTGCTTTGTTTTCCGTAGTGAACGCAATCTCGTATCCATCGTGATTATTTAACCTTATCTATTTATCATGATTTTAATAAAATTTATCTGTTTATTAATTTCTTATTTATTATCGGGAAACTGTGCTATTTATATCATACTTTATTAATTGAACATTTATGTATGTTGTTACTAAAGTCGTTGTTGACTTTCGTTGCATGTCTGCTTAAAATGCAACAAAGTCTTTATTTTCTCTCTCAAACATGTTAGAAAATGCATTTATGATCAAAAACCAAGAATGATTTATTAAAGACATTTATACAATTTCTTAATTAATAATAGATCATTATATTTTTATTTTAGTTTTCATAGTTTTATTTCATTTAATTGAATCTCTATTTAAAAAAGAAAATTTATTTAAGGCACTGTATTTGCAAAAGTACTCAATGTGGCATTAATTTTATTTCAGAAGTGTTCGTGTTAACAATTAAATCTATTATATTTTAAAATTGAAGTTTTTCATGCGGTAAAATTTGAATATTTTTTATTTTGAATATGTCAATATCAAAATTGAAAAAAAAAATAGATAACAGATAATTAACACAAAAATGAGTGTTAATTTAAGGATGTCAGATTGAATTTTTTTATTAAGAAGAGACTTAATTAAATAAAAAGAATAAATATAAAAACTAAAATAAATAAAAAATACCAAACTATTAATTATTTTGTTCTTTTTTTATGGAGCTAGCTATGCTTATTATTTTAACTGAATGCTAAAACGTGCGAAACGAGAAGTCAGGCCCGTAGTAAACCTTACAGGCCCAAAGTTCCGTAAAGCCCAAACACAAGTTTGTTTTAGCCTAAAACTAAGAGGCCCATTTCAATTTGGGTCATTTTTCCTTAAAAGCTTTTAAAAGATACAAATGTAAATAAAAAATTTTATGAATAAAAAAAATTGGTCAAGTTACATGAGAGATTCTTTTACAAATAAAATCCAAATGTTTTTAGTTTAAAATCTCATACACCTGCTTTGTTAGTCAAAGTAATAATTTACCAAAAATAAATTATAATTAAAAAAAAAAGTGTGAATAGCAAGGTTTTTTACTTTTTTTTTTTTGGTCCAGAAGAGTTTTTGCATTAATTAATTTTGCACTTTAATGGGTGCTATTCACACACATGCTACATCCATCACTTTATCACTTTAGTTTTATGAAAAGGCAATGGAGAACGTTAACAATCTGAAAACAACTGAGAGAAACACCTTTTGGTACCATTTTTTCATTTATAAAAAGCAAACCCATAACAGCAGAACACTGCCAATGCCACCATATGATATTTTCAACACTTCCGACACTCTGATAATATAATAATATATCATATAAAAAACATTGCCTCGCCCCAGAACACCAGCAACGAATCCAACCCCGACACAACAAAAGAGAAGAACCTTAATTTATGAGAGTGTTCACCACAGACACATGTTGTCTGCAGTGGCGACAATGGGGTGATTAAGGAAGGGCGCGTGCATGGGAATGATGAAATTATTGTTGGTTTTGTTATCGTTACGGTGATGATAATAATGGTTTGTATCGTTGATGAGTTTGATGATGTGATTGAAGGAGTGAAGGGTTTGAGCGAGCTCGGTCTTCTGGGCTACGAGAATGGAGTTGTGAGCGTGGAGCTTGAGATAGTGTTGGGTGGTGAGGTTGAGTTGGTTCGAGATAAGGTCATTTTCCTTCTGGAGACTCTGGAGCTGTTCGGTGAGATCATCGAAGTGCTTCTGCTTTCGCATCCTTGATCTTCTGGCGGAGTCACGGTTGGATTGCTTTCTCTTCTTTCTTCTCAGTTCCATGAGAAGGTGGAGATCGTCCTGAGAGGGTGAAGTGGAAGAGGTTCCGGTGGATGAGGCCATTGATTTAGAAGAGAAAGGAAAAAGATTGTTAATAGTACGTAGTGATATATATAATGAAAGGGAAGGTGGTGTTAGGGTTAATTATGAGAAAACATAGAACCAATAGAGGAAGATAACTGAGAAAGATTGAACTAAGTGGGTCCTGCGTCTTAGGGAAGAATTTATCATAAACCCGGAACGAAGGATCTCACTCAGGACTGGAGACATTAATGTAAAACATGAAGGTTCATCTGAGAGGAAACTGGAGAATGCAGAAGCAGCAAGGGTTTGAGAAGAGAAGAAAGGAAAACAGAAGGGTAGTAGAGGAAGAGAGGAGAAGAGGAAGTAAAAATTGAAGAAGAGGGTTGAATTTATAAGAGAAAATAAGGGTGGAGAGAGTGAAAAAGGGGGTGGAAAATAGCAAGTGGGAGGGGAATATACTCCTAATGGTGGGTGCGTGGGACAGGAACACTGCATGCTTTCCAATTCTACCTACTCAACACCTCCTTTTTACAAATCACACCGACACTAAAAATGACTCTCATCTTCCTTATATTTACAATCAGAACTCTTACTTATATTTAATGTTGGTTCTTGGATTCTTAATTAAATATAGGATCGTTTCTTACTTCAAATTGTGGAGACAATTTTTATATATTTATTTAATTTAATTGGTTAGTTTTATGTTAGTTTAATTTATTTTAATGATTAGTATCTATACCTATATATAAAGAAGATTTATATTTATATTTGTTTTCTATTTTACCCTTTAAATAATTTTTTTTACTAAAATAATTATTTTTTAAATTTAATATTTTTATTCAATTTGATTTTTTTAAATTAATAATATTCTTAATTGTTAAAGTATCTGCAAAATAAATAAAATTTATATTTATATTTACAATAAAATTATAATTTTTTTATCCATGTGTTTTCACTTATAATATTAAATAAAGAAAAAAAAACTCATTAGTTAAATAACTGTTTTGAAACTAGCAAAATAAAATAATATAATTAAATTATATATATATATATATATATA